AGTATTGGAGAAAAGACTGAAACTTGTCTGGTTTAGAAACACATAGTAGGGCATTTTCTTGACTTTATCATGTCTTTAGGAGTCAAATCAAGAAAATGAAAAAGGATCAACTGTCAAAAACAACAAGAAGAAAAAAATCCTTCCCCCATTGCAACATTGCAACATTCCACATTCCCATCCCAGTAGCACTTTCTTCTTCCTTCACATTAACATCACAATCCCCATGACAAGTCATTGTCTGGAGGGATGGGGAACAAAACTAACAACACGAACTTCTGGGAGATTTTTGTCCTCAGAGACCCAGCTAGGGTTCTTTGAGGCCTCTTGGCATCTACCTCTGCCAGTCACAGATCCAGTAATAACTGGCCAAATAGATTGAGATTCTCCATATCTTGGCACCAAGATTATGGCTTTGGTCCTCGTTGAAAGTCAGCATCAATAGATAAGTTGCAAAGTTAGTTGAATTCTACATAGCAACTAGGAGAAATATAGTTATCTTCAGAGAGATGTCTATTATCTATTGCTGCCTAACAAGTTACTCTAGAATTTAGCATCTTGAAACAGGAAAGATTTATTATGTCTCCATTTCTGTGGGTCAGGAATGAGGAAACAGCTTAGCTGGGTGGTTCTGGCATAGGTCTCTTATGAAGTTGGAGTAGGCTGTCAGCTAGGGCTGTAGTCATCTGACACTATGGGATCTTCTTCCAAATGCACTCACATGGCTTTGGCAGACCTCAGTTCCTCACGGCTGCCATCTGGGTAATTTAGTACCTTACCATGTGGGCTTCTCCATAGGCTATCTGAGTGCCTTTATGACATGGCAGTTGGCTTCATTCCAAGGGTGAGCCATTCAAGAAAGAGATATCACACCCAAGGTGGAAAACACAGTCTTTTTATACCTTAATCTCAGAAGTGTCACACCATCACTTCTATAGTATTTCATTGGTTAAAAGGAAGTCTCTAAGTCCAGCCCACACTGAAGGAGAAAGGAGCACACCTCTACCTCTTGAAGGGAGGAGATGAACAAAGAATTTGTGAATGTGTCTTTTAAAACCCTATAGAGTGGTTTTAATTTCCGAAAGCCAATGAGACACAGTAGTTAGCACAGATTTGAGAATCATAAAGACCTAGGTTTAATTCTGGCTTCCACATTTGCTGCTTATGCAAGTTTAGGCAAGTCATTTAACCTTTCTGAATCTCAATTTCCTCATCTATAAAAGAATCTGGTCTAAGAATAGTAGTAGATGTTTCATTGGGTTGCTGTGAGAATTAAATAAGATCATGCACGTAAAGTGCCTGGCAAAGAATAAGTACTACATAAATATTACTTAATTGCTATTGCAGTGGGATGATATTGTCCTCCTTCCTAGGAGACATTATAATACAGAGGTTAGGAACACAGTTTCTGGAGTCAGGCTATCTGGTTTGGGACTTCGGCTCCACCACATTAGCTATAAGAACTAGGGCAAGTCACTTAACTCTCTTGGCCTTGGTTTTCTTTAAAATAAAAATAAAAATAATAGCTAGTGCTTGGCCATCTAATAGATATTAAATAACTATATGATGAATAAGGAAATAGTGGATGATAGAGGGATATAATGACAAACAAGTGTCTGTGTATGTGTGTGTGTGCACATACATGTTAAGGATGCCACACAAAGCACATGTTACTTCAAACAACCGCTGTTTAACTACGGAACTGGATGTAGCTACCCCAGTGTTTTTTGAGTGAGCCCTTGTACCCTTGAGCATGTCAGCCTATATGACCTCCTTAGTTTTTCCATCTCTTATGAGTTGTTCGTGTTCTCATTGTTTGCATTCTGTTCCACATTGGTTTTGTTCAAGCATACTTTCTTCATCTCTGCTGCCTCCACCAAGAATATGTTTAATTGGCTTTGCACAGAGTCTGGAGATTTGGTGACAGGAAGGGGTGGGGTAGTCACCACCTCAGAGCTACTACATTACCTTAAATTGATTTTGCAAATGAAAGCTAAAAGCTAAGCAAAGGCAACCCATCCATTTTGCCTAAAGATGATTATAATGCTCTTTTACGGCCTTCTAAATGACAGAGCAATTTGTTACCTGCCTGCATCAACATTTGCTTATATTAGCACCCGAGATGCTTGATTTTTATTAGCCTCACGTTATCATTTTATGAAGACGCAGGGGCTATGTAAAATTAGTGTGCAAATAGAATGCCCATTTTGCATTTCCCTGTGGTCAGCAGAAATGCTGAATGCAATTGACTTGATATGGGGTCAGGGGAGACATCCATAAAGTTAGCCTTCACCAAGGGCCTCCCTAATGCCATTTATCATGTCTGGACTACTGCGATAGATGGGGACAGTGTTAGACAGTGTTTTTTAAAAGAACTTGGTGATTTTTTTAAGTAAAAAAGCAATATAAATACTAAGATAGTAGCTCAATTTCTAACACAATAAGATGAAACCAAACTCTCCTGTGTAAATTGTAGATGGAAATGCAGCAGGAGTGGGATCTTATATTGTTATTCATGGATCCAGAATGATAGAGATAGGGTAGTGAAAGGGACTAGGATGCTGGGTGCTGGGACTTAACTCTACCACTGCTAGCTGAATGACCTTGGGCATGTCCCTTCCTTCTGTGAGCCTCATTTCCTTACCTATAAAATGTAGTTAATACTGTCCACCTCACAGAGGCATGATAAGATTAAATAACATAATATGAGTCTACATTTCTTTATAAACCGTCATCTACACAGTAGTTTTATTTGTTGTTTCAGTAGTCAGTCCTTGAGCATTGACTACTCAAGTGCTCCATGCAGGGTCCTGGGAAAGACATTAGTGATACATCCATGGAAGTTGCAGTTTCTTCTTTGAGGAGCTTATATTCAGTCCAGGAACTGTTCAGGTGTCTAATCCCTCTTTAAATAATTCACTTCTTCAGGGCGGATGAGCCTTCTCTCTCCCTTTGTTCCTAAAGGTGCCTAGCATAGAGCTGAGTAGAGTGAGTTCACAAGAATATATTTTGGTTCCATGATATTTCTTGCTGCCTTTCAGGAGAAGCAGTGATTCCACCCTATTGATCACCCAATGGACCAAGCAAGTCCCAAGCCTTTAGAACCAGGTTTAATAGGGTTAATATTTTTAGTTTCATCTCTGACATCGGTGCATCAACTGTTGGGATAATGAACCATGTTCAAAATAGCATTATCTCCAGCATTTCAGAAGGAGAAAGCCTGTTAAGTATTTCTATACTCTCCCTCCAGATCATCCTCGAACATTGATAAAATCCTTCAATTCAACTTCTCTTAATGTTCCTTCCTAAATTTTTCTTCAGGTAATTGTTCTGTTCTGTATTAATCAGCCCTTCTTCTTCTGACCACTGCTGAGTATCCTTCCCTAGATATTTCTTTCTGGGAATGCCACCCTTGGCTGTTACTTTTTTCTGATAATATCTTTGCACAATAGTTCAACTTTATTATACAAATTAGACTTCTGTAGAGAGAGAAAGAGTTTGGGTTCCAATTTGGAGCCACATTTTCTCACTTTTCTGCATGTCTAATAATTTTTTATTGGATGCTGGATATTGCAAATCGTACCTTGCTTTGATTGTCTGGATTCTGTTGCCTTCCTTTAAAGAGAGTTGGGCTTTGTACAGAAAGCATTTAAGTTTCTTTTGTTCAGTATGATCCTTTTGAGACTTGTTTTTAAGCTTCGTGAATGTGGGTGGTCTAGAGTAGTTTATCCCTATCACTAAGACACTGCCCATCTGAGTTCTCATTCTCCTTGAATTATCAGTGAGGACTTCCTCTTTAGTTGTGGGAATTCAAATGATTCTTGGCCCTGTGTGACCCCTAACTGTGCAGTTCACAGTTCCCTGGTCATTGTTTCCTGACATCATGGAGAGTCACCCCATGCATGTACATCTTAGAATCCAGCAAAGGCTCAAGAAGACTCCTGTACAGATTTCTGGAACTCTTTTTCTGCAGAGCTTCCTCCTTTCTGGAGCTCAGAGTTTCCCAACTACTACCTGCTGAACTGGAATCTCAGTGAGGCTTCTATGCTTTGCTCAGGATACCCCTCTCTGCTCTTCAGTCTGGAAGGGATCATCAGGCAAAAAGCCAGGGCAATTATAGGGCATATCTCATTTATTTTACTTCTCTCATTGATTATCTTGCATTAGCTCTTGTTCAATATCTGAAAATAGATGTTTTGAATATTTTGTCCAATTTTTTAGTTAAAATAAAAGGGAAATAAAGGCCAGACAAGGGCTTTGGCTCTAATCTCAGCTCCTATCACCACTTATTAGCTGTGGGACCTTGAACAAGTTATATAAACTCCATGAGCCTTAGTTTCTGCCTCTGTTAAAAAAAACACATTAACAGCATGTTGCTGTAGGGATTATATATATATAATATACATATATGTATGTATATATTATGTATGAATATGTATATATACATACATATATACACACACACACACACACATATATGATGTATATATAAAAGTGACTGACAAAAAAGGAGCTAATTAAATGGCAGCTGCTACTATTACTAATACATAAATAGCTACCTTATCTACTCCATCATTTGCCGAATGTTTACTGTGTACTATGCAATGTGTAAGCCTGTTTAATCATCACAACAACCCTATTAAAATCCTTGTTTATAGATTAGAAAATGGAAGCTTAGAAAGGATACTCACATTGCCTAAGTCACAGTCAATGGATTTGAGATTCAACTTCACTCATATGACTTTCTTGGATGATTGTAGATACTGTATATTAATACAATATGATCAGTTATACCAAAGAAAGGGAATGTAGTCTTTTAATGTTGGGTGGGAACATAATTAAATTAGTCAGCAGTGGCTGGACCTTAATGATTCTAACTCAGTGGTTAAGAAATAAACGTAAAGCATCCAGCCCATTCCCTCTGGGGTTCCCTGCCACACACCAACCACTAGACTCAGCTTTCCTTGCCTTCCTTAGCAACCATCTTTCATTTTATCTTGTAGACAATCTCCGGGAAGGAGCGGAGCGGAAGGTGGTATTCATCACAGGACGAGTCCACCCAGGGGAAACACCCTCTTCATTTGTGTGCCAAGGTGAGTTGCAGGATCTTGTAGGTGTCCTATGCCTATCCCCACATCCACCTGGGACACTGTGACGATCTCTGGAACAGTGTGGAAACATGCAGAGTCATTATCTAGAATGGAGATTTACTGCATTCCTTTAAAAATGTTGTTGTACCTGATCTCCATTAGGTTTTATTTCAGTAAATGTTTACTGACTAGATGTATGTATGTGTGAATTAATTAATTAATTAAGTGGATAGATGGATGGATGGATAAATGAACAGGGAGGCTGAATGAAGTTATCTTATTTGTACTGTGGTGAGGAAGAGCCATACAGAATCATCTACACTCCCTAGCTTTACTTGTCCCCAGTGGTTTACAGCAGCAAGAAATCTGGCCCCAGATCAATGTGTGTGTTGGCAGAAAAGCTGTGAAATGGGAGGTAATGACTGTAAACTATCTGTTCGCTCATTCATTCAATCATTCACTTAAACAACTTTTGAAATACCTGCCAGGAGTAAGTATGCTTGGCATCAGACAACCAGAGGCAAATAAGACATGATTTTTATTCTCAAATGTTTCTCTTTGTAATTGCACTTATTATTAAATATTTCATCCATACTGTATTTAATTAGTCAGCTATAGTCAGTAATATATTATATATATTGTTGAGCAAGCTGAAGTTTAGAGAAGTTAAGTAATTTATCTCATTTTAATCTCAAAGTGACCATGAGGTCAAAGAGACATAAAAAGCCTGTGGAGGTTCTACAACTTGAGGGAGGTGGCGCACTGCAGAGGAAGCCTCTGAGGATCTGAAATCAGATAATCCTGGGGTCAAATACTGGCTGTGCCACTTCCCAGCAGTGCAACTTCAGTTTCCTCAAATGTAAAATGACATATCCAGGAGGCTGTTATGAAGCTGGCATGAGATGAATGTAAACAGCACACCCAGTCCTGTGTCTGGCACACAGCAGGCACTCAACAGAGGTTACCTCCTTCCCCATGGGAATCTGAGAAGATAAGCAGGTAATCTGCTCTGTAAACTATCAAGTACTATGCAAATAAATACGGGCTTTGTTTTCCCAGTTCGTATTCTTACAATGGTTTGTTAGGCACCATTGCCTTCCTCTTTTTCAGATGAGGAGACTGAGTTTCAGGGAAGCAGTGACTTGTGCAAAGTCAAGAAGCTTGTAAGAGGCATGGCTGAGGCTCCAGTCACAAGAGCTGACTCCTTAGCATTCTCACGTTGGCCTTCGTCCTCCCCAGCATTGTCCTTGCAGTAACCTCTTGAGGTCCCTCCTGGGTTTACCAACCCCTTTACTTGTAGCCATCTGTCAGTTACTAAATTTGGCAGCAGATCTCTTCCTCCAGCTGATTGGATGTAACTGCTTTCTCTTTGTTGGTAAAAAGACAGCCTTACCATCAGTACTTCATTCCTGGGAGCCCAAACCCCCATGCTCACCTCCCCTGTGGGCAGTAGACAGACAGCAGCATCACCATCCCATTTCACAGATGAGAATTGAACCACAGAGGAATTGAATGGACCTCAGGTGCTCCCTGATGACCCTGTTTACTAAAAGGAAATCTTTGGATGGTGCTGAGTTGATACACTCAATGCTGTTCTGTAGGTTTTTAACAGATGTCTATTCTTTGACAGAGCCTTTCAGTGCCTGCCCACTGACTTCTCAAAATAAACTCCAACTCCTTGGCATGACATTCCCAGCCGTCTGTCATCTGGCTCTCACCTGGTTCTCTGGGCTCAGCCTCATACACTCAGCTCCACACAGCTTAAACCTTGAGTGGGTAGTCTTCTCTTGACCAATGCACCTTTACACCTGCTGCTCCCTCTGCCTAGCAGGCCTGTTCCTTGCCACCTGGCAAGCCCCATCCATCTCCCAGGACTCAGTTTGAGTGCCCCTACTGTGGGCCTCCCTGGCCCACTCCCTTCTGCCCCCTGCTTTGTGTCTGCATTGTGGACCTAAAGATGGCCATCATCTTTATTGATAATGGTCGTCTCTATTGCCCTGATTTATTATGATATACCTGACTTATATTTGTTTTTCCCCCTTTAAACCATGAGCTGTGTAAGGTCTAGGGCTGTTCTCCAACTGTCATCTTCCACATCTGTAAAATGGAGTTATCTTGTTCATCTTACGGGGCTGTTGTGAGGAACAAATGCTATGTTTAACTCAGAAACAGGAGCCTCAAGGTGACAGTTGTTAAATAGTTGAGGGGGTCTTTTAACCTAACTCTAGCTAACTCCCAATCCTGTACATGCCTCTTTGTCCCACTCAGGTACAGGAACTACTAGAAGGCCAAGTCTTGTACCTGAAAGAACTCAGAGTTCTGACCACCCTGCAACAATTAATGTGCATTTTACAGATCAGGATGTGGAGCCTCAGGGAAGTACAATGGCTTTCCCAAAGTCACAGGACTAATTCATGACACGTGTGGTTCTGGAGTCCATCTCCCCAATCCTGTTTCTCATCTTTCCCTGCCTCTGTATCTGCCTCATAAGACGTACAATTCATACTTCCTTGAGGCAGTGTAAGAGGCATCATTACCCCACTTGACCAATACAGGACAGAGGCATGGTCTTGCCTGAGGGTGCCTCAGCTATGGCTGTGTAGACAGCCCAGATCACAGCCCACAGGGCTGGGGGTTTCTTCCTCAGTCGTAGCCCTAAGCTTGTCCATCTTCCCCCAGCTCCCATTAGCCCAGCTCGTTCTGGGGATAGCAGGCAGGTCCAAGGTGTGGACAGATGCTGAGATACCTTCAATTCTGTTAACTCTTCCACATTAACTGGCTCAGTGACCTTGAGCAGGGAATAGGCATGTGAGTCTGCTTGTGCCCATCTGGCTGGGACCATGGCTCTCACTGCTGAGCTGCTGATGCACGTGCTGCTGGGAGGAGAGTGAAGTCCTGTCACTGCATAGCTCTGGAAGAGGTGGCAGTAAGGGTGGCAGGGCTTGGATTTCCTCAAGACTGCTTGTTGGTGGGATGCTTACTCTGCTACCCCAAACCTTGCTCATGACCTCCATGAGGCCACACTATCCTGTTCTCCAGTGACTATGTGAGAGGTCAGAGGAGCTCCTGTGTGGCCCTATGGCCAGCCATGTGAGAGCACCATCCCTCAAGCTGCTACACTGCAGGGTGTGAATCCCAGCTCTTCTACTTAGTGTGACCTTGGGAAAACCACAAAACCTCCTTATGCCTCAGTTCCTTTATCCCAAAAGGGCAATAATAATAGAAATCCTGCCTCACAGGGTTGTTGTGAAGACTGACTCTGTTGATATCCAATGAGCATTTAGGATGGTGTCTGGAATATAGACGGCACTAAACAAGTGCCAGAAGTAGGGGAGGAGCTGGCACTAATGGAGCACACGGCCGGCGCCCAGGCCTCCATGAGGCACTTTGTGCCTGGTTCCTCTAATCCTTACTGTGAACCAAACCCAGGTGTGGGCCTCCCAGACTGTGGGCCCCAGCTCTTCCTCGTCACCTTCCTGAGTGTGCCACTAGCTGCTCATCTGAAGGGTCACCTTGCAAGCCAGGAGCTTGGCCTGAACCAGACCTAGACCTTGTGTCTGACTCCTGTTCACTGGCCTGTTCATGCTCTTTCACTGGCTCTTCCTGGGACTTCGGGGCCAACTCTCATTGGAAATTTCCATCTGCAGAGTACTTCGTCCTCTCTAGACCCTTTGTCATTGAATTAATGAAACCAGCACTTTTGAAGTGCTACAGTGGGGAGCCACGCCATGCTCTGGAGAGCAGCAGAGGCAGTGGGCACAGCTGTGGCTTTGGAGTTTGATAGGCCTGAGTTTGAGTCTACCATTTCCATCTAGCTAGGGGATCTTGCACACGTCCTTGCCTCTCACAGCCCCTATTTCCTGACCTGCAAAATGCGGCAGGAATGCCTTCCTCAGGGGGCTGCTGTGAGGGTTTAATGAGACAGTGTAGGTCAATGCTAGGCATAGATAGGTGCCTGATTGGTGCCCACACTCCTGTCTTCACCTTCACTCTTGTACAGAAATTCTATCAGGTCACCGGGCAGCTCTCAGCTCTTTACGGAACAGTCCAGGGACTCACTAGATGTCACCCGGTAAGTTGGTGGTAGAGTGGGGACTAGATCCAATCTCCTGCCTCCCAGCCTGAGCCCTGCTGCTACATGCCAAGGTGTCCATCAGGGCCTAGACTGTAGAGACACAGAGGCTGGCCCTCTCCCAGGGAGTTCACTTCTCAGAGTTATTTCAAGGGAGGAAGATGTGTGCGCGCACGCACACACACGCACACACGCATGCACACGCACACGCACACGCACACACACCACACTCACAACCACCAGTATCTCCAAGCACCAGGTCCAAGCACAGCCTCATACTTCCTGTCAGTGAGGTCGTGACCTCTGCTCCTCCCCCATTCTGCTTTCCTCCCACCTCTCTTCACTTCTTCTTCCTCTTCCCCTTGCTGTCCCAAACAGCATCCCACTATAGGTGTGGTGCTAGATCCACTAAGGACCCTTTCACTTTCCCAGGCTTCTGTCTCTTCATCCATGAAATGGGCAGAGTTGGGGGCAGGAGGGTGAGGACTTATACTCTGTGAACTTTAGGGTCGTCATGGACAAACTCCCTGTGAGTCCATAATTTGAGGCCCCTGGACTCAGCTGAGGGCAGACAGGGGTCTCATGCCAGGTCAAGGGAGGGCCTAGAGTGGGTGCTGCTGTGCAAATCACACTCTGGGCCAAGCAGAGACCTCAAACTGTCTTGCTCCAAACCTTGGCTTTTCTTACTACAGTATGCTGCCTCTGAACAGAGAACAGAAACAATAAATTTTGCATAGAATTCTCTAGGCAGAAAATCATACCGGCATATGCAAATTACTCTACAAATCACATGCAGATAGACTTCTGGCTCTTTGCATCTTGTCTTCACAGAAAGAGCCCTGCTTTGAAGCCAGCAGAACTGGGTCTGAATCCCAACTAGGTTCCTGTGAGGCACTCAGCAACTGATGCCACACCCTGACTTTCTTTCCCT